CTCACTGCTTAAAGTCATCTTGTCCATCCCCTACGTAACAGTCACTATGAGGTCTTTTTATTTCTTCCTCTGGCATGTACCGGTAAATATCGTCGGTCATTTTTTTGAAAACGTAATTGCTATTTGGTATAAACTAACCTGGAATTTGAAAACTCTGCAAACTTATTTTATGTTTAAGAGAACTATTACTCACTTTTTTCACTCAGAAAAGCTCCCACATATTTTGGTTGCTGAATTCGCTGGTCGACTATATCGTAGCGCTGGCGTTTGTAGTCTCTGATCATTATGGCTGGTCTCACCTGGAACAATTTGTTTCGCTAACAGCGACAGCTGTTCTTTGGCGCGTCTGCTTGGACCAGCCTTAACTTCATGAAAAGAATTGGCGACTGGTAATGTCCGATACAGTGCTACCCCTCCCTTTATTGGCTGCCGTCATTTCATGGACAGCAGTATTCTTTTCCTGAACCCTGCGTACCCTCCAACCACCATGAACTTTATTTTGACTCCTTTTTGACAATTTTTTTTCTGCTGTTCAGATGTGTGTTTAACGCTTCCCTGACAATTTCCGTATACTGGCACTTTATACAATTATTATAATTATAATTATTTTTAAAAGAATGAACAAAAAGAAATGAGCAAAAAGAAATCTCAGGGTACCTCAAAAAGGCACAGAGAGTCAGACGAGGGAACAAGAGTTGGCTACGCCGCACACGAAAATCGCGCCGCTGAAAACGAAAAATGTTCAAAAGATCGTAGTTAACAGGCAGTCATGCGTTAGTCCTGCTGAACCAAACCTTCCTGAATCGGTGGAAGGTTGTAGCCGGGATGCACGCGATGAAGACTCTGTAGGTATGATTATACCACACGGCCGTCTAGTTGATCGCAGTAAATGCATCGTTATAAAGGGCATGCCTGAGTCTGTTTCCGACGCTTCAAAGGACAGAATACAACATGACATAGAAATATTCCAGGAATATCTCAAATCGATCTTAATAAGAGACGAAAAAGTCACAGTATTAAAGGCTTTCAGGATGGGCAAAATTAAAGACTCAAAACAAGTTCCAGACCGACCGAGACCGTTAAAAATTGTCTTTGTGAATGACGAACAAGCACAGTTACTTTTGAGCAGGAAAGCTGCGCTTAAACACGCCCATCCATCAGTTTTTTTTCAGCGGGACTTTTCACCCGCGGAGCGAGAAAAATGGAGGGGGCTCAAATTGGAAGTCCTCAGGCGGTCGTGTCTGGGCGAGACAAATCTCCGAATAGTGGACGGAAAAATTATACGCGTCCAGAGGCCATTCCTCTGGAGAAAGCCCATAACTCTAACAGCTTAGGAGTGATGGAAAGCAGTTCATCCCGATCAGCTCCGACCGGCTTTTGCATTCAATCCCAAGAAATGGATAAACGCCAGTATGCCGGAGTTGCTCGTGCCAAATTGATATTTTTGTATACCAATGCTCAAAGTCTCGTTTCGAAAATCGACGAACTCAAAGCGAGAGTACCGGAACAAATCCCCGACGTCATCGCCATAACGGAAACTTGGCTTAATGCCAAAATCATGGATGCTGAGATTTCGATACCGGGTTACCAGCTGTTTCGTAGAGACCGTTAAAATAGGCAGGGCGGAGGGATAGTCGTATATGTAAGGGAAGGAATTTCAGCAGTTGAAAGAGCCCACACCCTCTCCCTTGAATATGAATCCGTCTGGATAAAGATAAAGAAGAGTAATGCACAAAATCTAGAATTTCTGGTGATTTACAGACCACCAAATCTTCTGAGTGCAGCTGATGAGTCGCTCCTTGGTTTAGTCAAAGACGTAGCTAGCCACCAAGACATACTTATTGCTGGGGATTTCAACGCACCTGCAATAGAGTGGGAAACTATGGCAGTTAATGGTGGACCAGCCTCTTTCAGCAATAAGCTACTGGACCTCACACTCGATCTCCCTCTGGCGCAACATGTGAAGGTACCAACAAGATTTCGAGAGAACCAGAGAGCAAATTGTCTAGACCTAGTTTTCACAAAAGACTTCTCTAATATCGACGAAGTGTATTCCAATGCACCTCTCGCGAAAAGTGACCATACCACGCTATTATGGGATTACTCGCTCTTCTCTAAACGCCAGAAGAGAACAGAGGGCCAGCCTAATATATGGAAGGCAGATTTTAATATGATGAAGAACGAATTGCTGTCCGTGAATTGGGACCAAATACTCAGGGAAGATCCGGAGGACGACTGGAGATGTTTTAAAACGATTTCACTCGATCTGATTAGGCGCTGTTGTCCACCTAAAGTACAAAAAACAACTAGTCGACCTGCTTGGTTAACTAGGGACCTAAATAAGCAGCTACGGAAGAAAAGCAAAAGATGGAAAATATTCAGGGAAACTGCGTCACCAGCGCATTTCGAAGAATTTCGCCGTCAACGAAACGCCGTCAAAAAATGTATCTGTCAGGCACGGAAGGAGTATGAATCCAAAATTATACGACAGGCTGAACAGAAGCCTAAGATTTTATTTCACTATCTGAACAGTAGACTGAAAAATAAGGACCCGGTCGCGGTGCTGAAGGATGATAATGGTGTAGAGATCATTGAGAACAACGAGAAAGCCGAACACTTAGGACAGTATTTTGCCTCCGTTTTTACTAGAGAAACTGAGTTTCGCTGTCGCAGTACCGGCAATGCTCTTGAGACTGTTGGTCCCGTGCTTGACTCCATACTCTTCCCGGCAGCTGCCGTGGAAAGGGAGGTGAAAAATCTCAAGGAAGCAAAGTCCTCGGGTCCGGACAATATACCGGCCAAATTCTTGAAGGAACTGGCGAACGAACTTTCCAAACCACTGGCGCACATCTTCCGCTCGTCGTTCGAATTAGGGAGGTTGCCATCGGAATGGAAGACAGCAAATATCTTTCCGATATACAAGGGCGGGGCTCGCACTAATGCTAACAATTACCGGCCTGTTAGTCTAACCTGCATCTGCTGTAAAATAATGGAGGCCATAGTTAAGAAAGCAACTATGGAGTTCCTGGAGCAGGGCCATTTAATCTCAGACCTGCAGCACGGCTTTAGACAGAACCGCTCGTGTCTTTCCAGTTTATTGCTCTCGACGGAGCAGTGGACTCGCGCACTGGATGAGGATGGGAGGGTTGATGTCATATACACAGACTTTAAGAAGGCGTTCGACAGCGTCCCACACAAACGCCTTATCTACAAACTTTCTGAAATTGGGATAAGAGGAAGGCTGCTGACATGGGTAACAGATTTTCTTACCGGGAGATCGCAAACCGTGTGCGTTGAGGCCTCAAGGTCAACTCCTACTCCCGTTCTAAGTGGTGTACCCCAGGGCTCCGTCTTAGGGCCGTTGCTATTCCTGGTTTACATTAACGACTGCGTCGACGACCTGGGATGCAGCGCCATCATATTTGCGGACGATGTTAAGCTGTGGAGACCCACCAGATCTGATGCAGACAGGTACGCGCTTCAAGACATTCTTACCCGCTTAACAGTTGGTCAGCTCGCTGGCTCCTCAATTTTAATGTGGACAAATGTGTGGTCCTGAGACTCCGCACCAGAAGGACAAGTAAGGAGGACGATTCCTTTCAATATGTCCTTGGTGGTCAGTCCCTTTCAAATGTTGTGGAACAGAAAGACCTGGGATTCCTAATGACCTCCTCGCTGAAACCATCTTCACAGTGTCAAAGGGCAGCCAAAAGTGCGATAAGGGTGTTATTTGCGCTGAGGCGAGGATTTGTGCAGATCGACAAGGAGCTGTTCGGAAAAACCTATGGGGCATTCGTCCGGTCTCACTTAGAGTATGCAGTCCAGGCCTGGCGACCGTGGTTAAAGAAAGATTATCAAAGACTGGAAAGAGTACAGGCGATGGCTACGAAGATGGTCAAGAATCTTCATCATTTGCCTTACGAAACCAGGCTGACTGAACTGAATCTGTTTCCTCTAAATTACAGGCAACTGCGCGGCGATCTCATTCAAACCTACAGGATTGTCAGAAGCCGTGAGTGTGCCCTAGATTTTGATAACTTCTTTGAATTGGCCCGGACTGACCGTCTGCGTGGTCATCCGTTCAAACTGCAAAGGAAGCGGGCTCATTCGGACGTCCGACGGAACGCCTTCTCACACAGGGTCATCGGGGCATGGAATGGACTCCCTGATGCCGTCGTTCTTTCCGAAAGTGTAAAATCCTTTAAGTGCAGACTAGACGCTCACTTGTTGAGAACATACTGTACATACAATCATGATTATTTTAGCGGCGGCAGTTTGCGCCTGGCTCACAGTTACCGCTAACTTCTTAACGTTTCGCATTTGCTGATGTAATTGATGACTTTATTTCTGTTTATCGACATGAATAGGGTGCTCAAGGGCGAAAGCCTCATTCCCTTAATAAACTGACTTAAACTGACTTAAACAAAATACCAGAGGAGGAAACAGGTAGGCATGCACTGCGCGTCACACGCACGCTATAGTGTCGGCGTTGGCACGTGCGCAGTCGGAGCGCGACCAAAGAAGTGTAACCGCCGATCGCACACATGGCATAATGAGATTATCGTAGCACATTTCACGTTACTCCTGTCTGGAGATGTCTTGATGAGGGTACATCGATTCTACATGGCATGCCACAATGGAGGTACATCTCTTTTTCAGAAGCTTCCATATTATAATTTGACGTTTTCTGACTTCTTTGTTTTTCGTTTGACATGGTAACTAAAAAGCAGCCAAATATTTAAAATTTCGTTCTGTCTAACCATGCTTCCGCATTTGCTTCTATTTCCCACTGTCTTAGTAGGCTGAAATTCAGGCGGGCTCTTCAATAACATCTGCTAGCGTACCGCCTAGTGAGTTGGGGCTTACGTTTACTATCATGAGTAGGCCATTTTATGATGGGGCATGATTTCAAATGGTTAGATAGATCTTTTTCAGACATTGATCGTGTCCCATGTAGGCTCGGGGCAACTACGACTTTCTAATGATTGACTCTTTCGAAGATGGAAGAGGGCTATCCGCGAAATCAGTGAGCTTGGTCCCCAGTTTTAAGGGCGATGGCGTAATTGTCTACGAACATGGTGAATGCCAAAATTAGGTACATCTGTGACTCCACGGCCTGCGTGGCCGGCGCACTAACGGTTTTGTGTTCACTGGAGTCCGTCTTTGAGTACAATGAAAAGCTATGGTCTTGACGCGCCTAACTCGTATGCCGGGCTCTCCCAACCAGTCACAAATACAAATTAACTACGAAAATAGTTTGCTTACCTGTTAAGAGAAAGGGGCCATGCGGAGCTAAGAGATTTGTGGATGGTTAGCCATGTCTTTAAAAAGTTTAAGGCACTGCGCGCTTATGTTAGTTAGGCACCATAGTGCACATCTGAGCTTTCTATTTGTAACTGAAACATCTTGAAAGGAATAAGTGTTTTAACATTTCTTTTTATAGGCATTTCATGGGCTCATTATTTTCAAAGTGTGATTCCTTAACGTTTGTCATCCTACCATCGGACCGCGTGGAAGGTCCACTTGGATTAGGTATGCAACTATTGCTTTTCCAAAATGTTTAGGCTTCCCCGAGGATGAGTCCTTAAATAAGGTAGAAAAAGATACGATTATCCCAGCCCTTATGATGGAACATGTTCGGCGAGAAGAATGCGCCGATCTTTGGTCGAGTTTGTTCTTTACCTGTTTTGACTCTGATTTTATTTACAGCTTTAGCTGAGTGCTCAAAAAGATATCACTGGGCTTCCGTCGTCTTATGTCGTCGTAATTTTGATGCAGCTATGCTGTGCAATCGAAAATAGTACTTTTATCGCTTTTATCACGGCTGCAGTCTTTTAGATCCAGAATTTTATGAAAAAATGACCCGAAGATATCTAGAACTGCGTGCCATGTACAGATCGACAGGAGTTGAACCAAAAAGTTGACAACATTTTTCTTATCTGTTTTCGACTGTACATATATTTTTCTCACTAATGAATTCGTTTTTCATCAGCCTTCGGACGTATATTCGCGGGGATCTGTCGAAGGGCAAGTTATAGAATACCGGCTAGTTCACTCGGACCCGAATCTATTGGCACGAAAACTGGCACCCATGGACTGAGCTCCAAAAAGTGCCTTCCTTATTTTAGAGTTTTAAGATGGCTTTCTTCTATGATCTGGCATCGCGTCTGCAACTTATGCTTCGTGATTTTTTTTTGCTGTACGATACGATAGCATGGGTTCTTGAGACATTTACCACCTAACTTATCCGTCTTGCAGCCTATGCAGAGCACATCACCTGTCGAACAATTCCGCTATGTTTTAACGAATCTATACACTTATCGGTCTATTTTACCATCCCTCTACAGTAACTTCATGTCTTGAAATGTTTTAAACCTGTTAAATAAGAGGTTGCAACTCTCTCATTTCCTTGTCTGTCAGGCGTCCGGAATACTATGGATTGTGGAAAGCCTGCAATCTATTCACCTTTCAGCCGCTTCATTCGACGATGGCCACCATCGATATTCGGTTTCTTTCTTAGGGAAAGAGATTTATAAGTTGTTTTTTTTGGCGATACCGTAGCTGGAGGGAGGGGGAGGGTGGAGAGAGAATTATGAAGAAAAATCGTAGACGATTGTTCCGCGTAGAATGATGCAATGCAGGCTAACCCTTCGTCCGGTGGACGCGGTTTAATGCTGCAATACCTTATAGGCAAAATCATTTATTTAGACTCTAGTACCTCCATTTAAAAGTTTTTACTTGGTCGAATCGTCATAAATTGCGTTCAGTCGACCGCTATCACCCCTTTCCTAGGGTGTCCTGGGCCGCTCCCCTATCATCAGTTGCTGTGAATTCACTCTAGATGGCTCATTTGGTGGTTAGTCCTAAATTTCCCATCCAGAAGGAGAAATTTGGAATGAAAGTTCTGGAACACGATCTCCGTGGACGCTTGACCGCAGCGGTTTCACCTTCTCTCGCCGTCTTCTTCTTTCCGACCTATTTGGTTAAAAGTGAAATTACAGTTCCTCTCATGGCGTTAACATAGGTGAAGCGAGGAAATTTTGCAAAAGCGCTAAACCCCATTTGCCGTCTTCAGACAACAACGCGAGGGAGACTAACTTCCAAAAGAATAACATATTTCGGTGTTTTCCTAACGAAACTTGTAACTGCGTGCTCAGCATACCGTGGACAGGCCACCCGATTCTGCGTTGTTCCAGATATTGATAGCACGGAAACTGCAGAGGCATACTCTGCGGCAGACTAGGCCGTGATGGTGTAGGTACTGTTGAGTGTTACGCGGTCACGACTTTTGTTTAGTGGGAAGGCTATCCAAATTGACGTAGGTTGCAAACGGGATTGCATATCGCTATCTCCAAAGCAATTTTTTGGGGTTGGGGGAGAAGGAGTTTAGGATTTGTCTCAGGAAATACCGGATGTGAAAACACACGCACACTGGACATCTTCATCTGGCTTAGGCAGCCAGCCAAGGATGGCAACGGAGGTACGGACTCCGTGCTGATCCCGACCCCCTGGAGCCACAGATGAGTGCCAGAACGGGGCTATATAGAAGTATCCACCAGGTTCACCGCTGCGTTTGGCGGGGGTCGTCAGGGTATTGCTTACAAGCATTTGCTTTCACGTGGTCATGCCTGCGCTAATAGGTCCAGATGGTGTCACTCGTGCTATAGCTTAGTGCATGAAAATTACCGACGGTGTATATGTGGCAGGGCATACTCGTCACTACGAAGCTCAGCACCCATC